AATACAGGTTTAGGCTTGACTGGTTCTTCATCTTCAGAAGATGAATCAGAGTCTGAGCTGCTCTCTGCTGCTGCCGCAGCAGGCTTAGCTGCAGGGGTAGCAGGCTTTGAAGCCGGGGTAGCAGGTTTAGCTGCTGCAGGTTTTGACTTGACCACCGGTTCCTCATCCTCAGATGATGAATCTGAGCTGCTCTCTGCTGCAACTGGAGGCTTTGCAGCAGGGGTAGCAGGCTTTGAAGCCGGGGTAGCAGGTTTAGCAGCTGCAGGTTTTGACTTGACCACCGGTTCCTCATCCTCAGATGATGAATCTGAGCTGCTCTCTGCTGCCACTGGAGGCTTTGCAGCAGGGGTAGCGGGCTTTGAAGCTGGAGTAGCTGGTTTGGCTGCTGGCTTGGCTTTCGTTGGTTTTTCCTCATCCTCAGAGGAGTCCTCGGAGTCAGAGCTGCTCTCTGCTGTCTTGGCTGGGGGTTTAGAAGCTACACCCGGTAACAGTGGAGCTGCAGTTTTAGTGGCAGCTTTTGCTGGGGCTTCATCTTCAGAGCTGCTTTCTGAATGCGAGATGGAATTAATGTTTTTACATTTTTGCAGATAAACATGAATTTCGGTTAAGGGTGGGAACAGAAAGCTGGAACTGACAGTTCTCATGATGGATGTTAAGTGAATTCTCTATCCCACCATGAACTAGCAAAACAGATTTACAAACTAAAACCAAACAAGATATTTATCGTTCTTCCAGAAATGCTGAGGTCACATGCTAGAATCTTTTACCTGAGCTTGAGGACTCGTCTTTTCTCGCTGTGGCAGGTGCAGGTTTAGCTGGGGCAACCTTAGCAGGAGTCACCTTCACTGTAGGTTTCTTCACCTCTTCTTCTTCCTCTGAACTTGAGTCTTCATCCGAGTCTTCTTCAGTGGGTGCAGCCTTGGCTGGGGCCTGTTTGACTGGGGCTTTTTTGGCTGGGGCCTGTTTGACTGGGGCTTTTTTAGCTGGGGCCTGTTTGACTGGGGCTTTTTTAGCTGGGGCCTGTTTGACTGGGGCTTTTTTAGCTGGGGTGACTTTGGCTGCAGGCTTCTTTGTCTCCTTTTCATCTGAGCTTGAATCTGGAAAGACAAGGCCATGAAGAAAAATGTCAGTTACCGCTCAGCACACTGAGCAGAGCAGTAACAGGAATTCTGAACATTACCTGAGCTGTCAGAACTGGACTCCTGCTTCTTGGCAGCGGGTTTGGGCACACCTGGTTTGGCAGCAGTTTTTGCCAATGCAGGTTTCACTGTGATGGTGACAGTGCTATTAGACATGCTATTTAAAAACACTACCAGTTCAAGCTAAGAAATGTGGCAACCTATTACCAGCTACTTTCTTTTTTTCTTCCTCATCACTGCTGTCAGAGGAGTCACTGTCCTTGGCTTTGCTGGCTGCTGGTGCAGCTGGAGCTTTCTTGACTGAAGCAGGAGGTGGGACTGCATTGTATGCCCCTAGCAGGACAGAAGAAACTGATCAGCATCATGACAAATAACACAAAATCAGTACAGTTAGATAATTGCCACTATGTGGTCCTGTCTGACTCGGAGTGGCAGTATCATGTTAGATATAAATGGAAACTGAATTCACTGTGAGGGCCGTCAAACCTCCCCTGATGTTCACTGGTACTTGCAGCACCATAAATCTTTTGTTGGTCAGGTTGGCATTAGAGTGTGTGGATGCCATTGAGCACACAAAAGGCAAAAATGTATAAAAACCACACCTGTCTTGGGTTTTTTGGTGGGAGGAACCTCATCTTCAGATGAAGAATCTTCACTGCTTGATTCAGCAGCAGGTGCAGGAGCCTTTACTGGGGCTGGTTTGACTGGAGCCTGTCAGGACAAAATCAGTACAGCTGAAGTCAGATGTTTACATACACCTTAGCCCAGTTTCTCACAACTCCTGACATTTAATCCTATAAAAACATTCCCTGTCTTAAATCAGTTGGGATCACTGCTTTATTTTAAGAATGGGAAACGTCAGAATAAGAAAAGAGAAAAAAATTCATTTCAGCTTTTGTCTTTCATCACATTCCCAGTGGGTCAGAAGTTTACATACACTTGGTTAGTATTTGGTAGCATTGCTTTTAAATTGTTTAACCTGGGTCAAATGTTTTGAGATGCCTTCCACAAGCTTCCTACAATAACTTGCTGGAGTTTTAGCCCATTCCTCTTGACAGAACTGGTGGAACTGAGTCAGGTTTGTAGGCCTCCTTGCTCACACCCACTTTTTCAGTCCTGCCCACAGATGTTTGATTGGATTGAGGTCAGGCCTTGTAATGACTTTGTCCTTAAGTCAATTTGCCACAACTCTAGTAGTCTGCTTGGGGTCATTGTCCATTTGGATAAAACCCATTTGTGACCAATCTTTAACTTCCTGGCTGATGTCCTGAGATGCTGCTTCAATATATCCACATCATCTTCCTTCATCATGATTCCATCTATTTTGTGAAGTGCCCCAGTCCCTCCTGCAGCAAAGCACGCCCACAACATGCCGCCCCCGTGCTTCAAAAGCAAGATGGCTGACGGAAAGCCAGAAAGGCTGAGTATCTTAGGAATATCTTGCCAATCCTTCTAGAGACCCCTAGAGATAAAAAAAAAAAATCATATGGTAACATCAAGTAACACCTAAACAATAATATTGTTGCTAAAATTTCTTAGTATTTTTTTTTTATCTTGGGAGGAAATTACAGTGTCTTTCAGGTTATGTTGACATTGGACTCATTTTACTGAGGCTATAGATACTTTAGTACCTTTTTCTTCCTGTGTCTTCACAAGGTCCTTTGCTGTTCTGAGATTGATTTGTACTGTCTGGACCAAAGCAAGTTCATCTCTAGGAGACCGAATACATCTCCCTGAGTGGTATGATGCCTGTGTTGTCCCATGGTGTTTATGCTAGCATAGTATTGTTTGTACAGATGAACGTGATACCTTCAGTCATTTGGAAATTTCTCCCAAGGATGAACCAGACTTGTGGAGGTCCACAGTTTTTTTTTTCTGAGGTCTTGGCTGATTTCTTTTGATTTTCCCATGATGTCAAACAAAGTAGTACCAGGTTTGAAGGCAGACCTTAAAATACACACAGGTGCACCTCCTATTGGCTGAAATGATGCCTTTTAGCCTATCAGGAGCTAAGTGTATGTAAACATCTGACCCACTGTCATTGTGATATAGTGAATTCATCTCTGTAAACAACTGTTTACAGATAATTAGAAAATGTGGCCAAAAAACCATTTTAATGACTTCAACCTAAGTGTATGTAAACTTCTGACTTCAACTGCATGTACATTTTACCCACTACATTTGATCAAGTTTACTCTACATTATTTTAAACTCAGGATGAAAGGCAATCAAAACACACAATAATATTTCGATATGAACTGACACCAGCATACCTTGACTGGTTCTTCATCCTCAGAATCAGAAGAACTATCTTCGCTGCTGCTCTCCTGCTTTTTCTGAGACGTACCTTTAGCAGGCACAGCTGGTTTGGGTGCTATTACTGCACCTGCCTTGGGTTCTATTATTCAGAGGTAAATTAGATAAAGCACACATTTTCACTTTATGTTTAATTTATACATTCAAGACAAAAGGTACTTAACACCACTAGTGCCTTTGGCTATAAACGCACTTGGTGCAGGGGCTTTAGTGGGCTGCTCATCCTCGGAGTCAGATTCTTCACTGCTTGAGCTGCTGTCTTTTTTCCTTGTGCTGCCTGTAGCAGGAGCAACAGCAGATGGCTTCACATGAGCCTGAAAGGAGAAACTACACTTTAATAACAGCATAAACCCAAAAACATAGCTTTGCAGAAATGACTTTGCATGGGACCAATCATTTGGGTGTTCCCTCCTACCTTTGCAGGTGCCTGCTCCTCCTCGGAGTCACTGGAGTCATCACTGCTGCTGGAAGCAGCTTTAGTAGCTGCTGCTGCTTTTGCAGGCACCACCTTGGCTGCTAAATGAATATTATAAAGAATCATCTACTTAGGAAATGGAAGGTTTCCGACATAAATCAACCAGCCTCATCAGTTCTGTGCTCAATATGTTTATATTACATGCAGGAGTTGTCTTAGTTGCTTGCTCGTCCTCACTGCTCGACTCCTCGCTGCTGGAGCTCTCTTTACTAATTTTTGCCTTTTTTGCTGATGGACCGTTGGTAGCTTCAGCTTTTCGTTTCTTGGCTTCAGGAGACCTAGGAAAGTCCAAAGCTGTATTAAAAGACCCTAAATGTGACCAGCTCTCTACCCAAGTGGAACACGAGAGTGTACTGAACTAGAGACGCATCCTGGAGCTGTGCTAAAAGAACAAATAAGCAGCAGTAGTGATTTATTTGTGGTTACAGGAAAAATGTGCATTGACCAAACCACTATAAATGTTTTTGCGTTAGCCGCATGGCTAATCTGTAACTGGCCTCAACAGCCGAAATGTTAATCATTTGAGTAAGTTTTATTTCAGTGTAGCGATACTTTCTATTTCTCAACTTTAAACATGATAAGGCCACAGAGACAAATTCAAAAGAATGCAGACCAGGCAAGTGTCACCTGTTGTTCCCAGATCAAGCATTATGCCTGTGGTTTTACAGAGTGCAAGTTGCTTTAGAGTCGATTTTTATCCACATGTTCAGCGACGGCATTTGTAGTGAACAGAAACGACCCGCTGAGCTAGCTTGGCCATATTTATACCATTATCAACAAACGTTGTAAACTAAATAAACATAAATGAAAAGGGAGAGAAAAGGACTATATGCAACTCACCTCACCCAGACGTTGTAGATGTTGACGAGGCTTTCTTCATTTTGATCTTGTGGATTCTGTAGAACACATGAAACTTAACCATCTACATCCATCAGTTGTAATGTCTGTGACGTTACAGTTTAACAATCCATTTCAATTCCATACAATGCACAGCACTGCATGGTTTCCATTCACTAACAAATAAATGTCAATTAAAGAGTTATTATTTATTAGTTCAGTAAACTTGCGCGTATGCCCCTACACGTGCTAAGTTCGCCGCTCCCTGTACAGTCTATCTTCTTCGTGTCAAAGCACCTACAGCCAAATGGCACGTCCAACCAAATCACAAAAGCCGCTTACCACTTTTGTCTGTTTTAGAAACTCCTGCGCCGCCTTGGAGAACTTGTTCTCCAACAGAAATGAATACACGCATTTGTAAAGATCACTCGGTACCGACTTTTTTGTCGCCATCTTCCCCACGATGCTAGTGGAAGTGACGGAAGTGCGTAAAAACGCCGCTTACGGGTTTGTGCGCAGGCGCAAATGACCATTTCGGATTGAGATGGTTAGTTCCGTTTGAAAAAATAAGACCCATTTTCATTCACCACCCGATTCATATAGTATTGCAACCCGCATTTAACTCCTAAAGACTCCTCTGAATAGCACCAAATTTGTATTTAAAAAATATTACGACTAAGTAACAGTTATAACTATGGATTTTAAAACGTATTTCAGTCTGGCACCAGGAAATCGAGGAGGAGTGAGACCTCATTAGCCACGTCAATTGAATCTCTGGCGTTTATTGGTTTAAAAATACACTTAAAAAAAAGAGGCATTACTTTATTAAATCGGTATTGTGTTGTAGTAAGTACAATAAACGTCTTTGTTGTTTTATCATTTTATTTCCTTCCTTTCCTTCTAATTTTCATATTTTTTTTTTTATTATTTTGTATTTTATGCAGTTGTCAATATAGGCGCATGCTTTACACGTCATCACTAAAGACCTTTCTTGTCCCTCGTGTTGTAACATGGTTGTCTTTAAGCTGAGTAGCCTGTCAATGATACACAATCAGTACCAGAATTAAACGTTTATTCGGAGATTTATTCGGTTACGCCATGCCTCGCTACGAACTAGCCCTGATCCTGAAGGCGATGCAGCGGCCGGAAACGGCGGCGGTTCTCCGGCGGACAGTGGAGACACTGATAGAACGGGGTGCAGTGGTGAGAGACCTGGAGAACCTGGGAGAGAGACTGCTGCCATACAAGATAAGCAAGCACGATCAGAGTCACAGGCGAGGGTCTTACTTTCTGGTCGATTTCTATGCAGCCCCCGGCATCCTTACGGACTTATTGAATCACTTGCACCGTGATGTGGACGTGGTGAGGCCCACTGTGCTGAAGAAGGAAACCCAGGTCTCCAATAGTCATAGCTGTGGATACAAAGAGTGATCGAATGTAAGGAATGGCTGGGGTAGATAAAGTTATATTTAACATACTAACTACACGTGGGTTAAAAATGAAATGCACAACTGGTGTATGAGCATGAGGAGTGGTACCTCCATCCACATTTGCGTGTAAAAGTTGTCATGGATTTAGGGATACAACTGAATATTTCCCTCATTTATTAATAATATATTTATAAAATATCAAACCCTGACATATGACTACCCATGTAAGGAGAATAATATTAGATTCATTAGAATACATTTCATGAAGTTACAGTACTCAAAATATGATACAAAACCAAAGTCAAACAACTCATTATTCATTACTGTGAAGTAACTGACAGAAATAAGAATGGATTGATATGGATAACTGGACTTAGTAAATGGACTAACCAGTTTATCAACTTAGCATTTGACTACACTCATTTTAACAAGAAGCATTACGCATCCATAAAGGATAACAGTGAGAGCAGGGTAGACCCTTAAATAAGACCTTATTTATGGACAGTCATATGTAT